TTGAGTATGCGTCGTTGATCAGCGAGACGCAGGCTATCAAGTCGGAGATGTCAAGGGTGCAATTCAAGGTCGACCGCAGTGTCAAGCTGCTCGATAGCTTGTCGAGTGAGAGGACACGCTGGGAGGAGGGCAGCAAGTCGTTCGAGACGCAGATCAGCACACTGGTGGGCGATGTGTTGGTTGCTGCTGCTTTCTTGGCGTACAGCGGTCTCTATGACCAGGTGTTCAGAAAATCGATGATGGAGGATTGGCTGCACCAGCTGCATCTCAGTGGTATTCAATTCAAGCAGCATAATCCTGTTACGGAATACCTCTCGACGGCCGATGAGAGGCTCAGCTGGCAGGCCAACACGCTGCCTGTGGACGACCTGTGCACAGAAAACGCCATCATCTTGCAGCGCTTCAACCGGTACCCGCTCATCATCGACCCCTCGGGCCGTGTCACTGAGTTCTTGCAGCGCGAGTGCAAGGACCGCCGGCTTACCGTGACCAGCTTCTTGGATGATTCGTTCACCAAGCAGCTCGAGAGTTCTCTCCGTTTCGGTAACCCGATCCTCATCCAGGATGCCGAACATCTCGACCCTGTGCTCAATCATGTGCTCAATAAGGAGTACCAAAAGACTGGTGGTCGTGTGCTGATCCAGCTTGGAAAGCAGCAGATCGATTTCTCGCCTGCGTTCAAGATTTACCTTTCCACGCGGGATCCTTCGGCCACCTTTGCTCCTGATATTTGCTCGCGGACGACATTTGTCAACTTTACTGTCACTCAGAGCAGTTTGCAAACCCAGTCTTTGGCTGAGGTGCTCAAGTCTGAGCGTCCTGATGTTGATGAGCGTCGTTCCAACCTCATCAAGTTACAAGGAGAGTTCAAGGTTCATCTTCGACAGCTTGAGAAGCGTCTGCTGCAAGCGCTCAACGAATCTCGTGGCAATATACTGGATGATGACAATGTCATCGAGACTCTCGAGACTCTCAAGACGGAGGCGGCCGAGATTTCAACCAAGATGAGCAACACCGAGGGTGTTATGGCCGAGGTGGAGGAGATCACGCTGCAGTACAACATCATTGCCAGATCTTGCAGTGCTGTCTTTGCTGTCCTCGAGCAGCTGCACTACATCAATCACTTCTATCAGTTCTCGCTGCAGTATTTCCTGGATATCTTCCACTCGGTCTTGCACGGCAACCCGCACTTGGAGGGGGAGCAGAATCATAACGTCAGGAGAGATCTCATTGTCAAGGATCTCTTCGTGGCTGCCTTCAAGCGAACTGCTCTGGGTCTGTTGCAAAAGGACAGGATCACGCTTGCCATGCTGCTTGCTCAGGCATCGCCCTACAAAATGGACAAGGGCCTGTTGGATGTTATACTTGATGAAAAGGTTGAGGGTAAGGACCTCTCGACTGACATTGGCGCCAAGGACGAGGTCTTTGCTCGGGCCAAGCGTATCACTGCTCTCAAGGACAAGATTGAGAATGTGCCTGAGGCGGACTGGGACAAGTTTCTTTCGGAGGAGCTTGCTGAGAACTTCGTGCCCAAGATCTGGGATGACAGTGTTGCTGAGACGGATCGTGCTCTCATATCGCTGCTCTTGGTCAAGCTTTTCCGTCTTGATCGGTTCGTCCCTACTGCCGAACGGTTTGTAACATTGGTGTTTGGCAATGATCTGTTTGACATTGTCGAGGATCTCAAGCAGACTGTCGATCAGGTTTCTGCTACTCGCCCCATTTCCCTTGTCTCTAGCCCTGGCTTTGACGCCTCTTACAAGGTTGACAGTCTGGTTGAGCGCATGCGTGTCCGCTGCACCAACATTGCCATGGGTTCCAACGAAGGTCTGGCCAGTGCGGACAAGGCTATCAGCAATGCTGCCCAGACTGGCTCTTGGGTTCTCATCAAGAATGTCCACTTGGCTCCTACTTGGCTTCAGTCACTTGAGAAGCGGATGGAGAGCCTGAACCCGAACCCAGAGTTTAGACTGTTCCTGTCTATGGAGTCTTCGCCAAAGATTCCTGTTAACCTGCTGAGAGCATCCCGAGTGTTGATGTACGAGCAGCCTGCTGGTGTGAGGGCCAATATGAAGGACTCGATGGGCTCGCTGAGCACAAGGAGCGTCAAGTCACCTGTGGAGAGAACGCGACTGTATCTGTTGCTGTCGTTCCTGCATGCTGTGGTGCAGGAGAGGTTGCGGTATGCCCCCAATCTGGGTTGGAAGGGGTTCTGGGAGTTCAACGATGCTGATGTAAGTCCCTCCGAACAACCTTTGCTGGAAATTGACAGGACGCTAACATGGAAAATAGTACGAATGCTCCGCCTTTGTCATTGACACTTGGATCGACGTCGCCGCACAAAACCGCACCAACATTGCGCCGACCAACATTCCCTGGGACATGATCCGGTACTTGATCACAGAAACCTACGGAGGCAAGATTGACGACGAAGGGGACATGAACATGCTGCGGCAAATCGTATCTACTTTCTTGACCCCGGCCGCGTTTGATATTGGTCACAAGCTTGTCGAGGCCACGCCCGAGACGGGGAGCGAGGAGCTGGTTGTTCCCAGCGGAACGTCCCTTCAGGAGTTTATGGGGTGGATCCAGAGGCTGCCTGAGAGAGAGCCGCCTACGTATTTGGGGTTGCCGGCGAATGCGGAGAAGTTGTTGCTTGTTGGGTTGGGGAGGAGCTTGATTGGGAATCTGAAGAAGGTGGTGGATTTGCTGGATGAGGGTGAGGTTTTGATGGAGGTTTAGGGGAGCCGAATGGTGAAATGGGGGTGGCTTAAAGGGGTGAGAAGGGTGTATGATAATTTGTTGGGTCAATATTGTGTACAAGTCAAGGTTGTTGTGAGGACATGTTGGAGTGTGAATAGTGGTATAGCCGTTTGACAGTGTATCTTGTTTGTTTTGCTTGGGGAGAATAAATGTTTGGCGCAAGTTGTTTTATGGAGTTGAATTGCTGTGAATGTCAAGTTTGGGTGTACGTTCTGCAAGGATCCCTCCGGTTCTGGGCTTCGAAGAGTCAGCAGCGAAACCGGCTTGTCCAAGGGAGACACTTGACAGCATCCATTCACCAAAACCCTCTTGATAACAAATCGTTCCATCATCCTTGCGAGAAAAAAGCCGAGCCGTGATTGCACCTGCAAGTCCTCTACGTCATGTAACCCACCCCCAATCTCCCAACCGCAGGCAACTGGCAACAACCGGAAAAGTGATTGATAGAACTCCCATCCGCCTCGGCCGGTCATTTTCCTCCGGTTCATCTCCAAATCAAGCTTTGCAACTCATCGGTACCGGCAGAATGGAGCTGCGAGCACGGCAACGTCGGTGATAAAGGCCGAGTCCGCGATCGTTTGATGTTGAGGGTTGCTGTTGTATCTGTCCGCGTATCGCCTTCTTGGTTGTAGTCAGCATATCCACTACATCTACCCGGATACCTGAGGGTCCGGAGATATGACGAAGTTATTCTGCCACCTCTCAAGTTTGCGGATTCTGTTGGTCGTCTTTTTTGCTGCAGAACTGTCAATCGTTATTTTGTGAGTGGGCTGGCGGTGTTTCAAATTGATGATGACATCACATCTCTCTTCATCCTCACCACCATCCTGGTAACCATCTCGACGGTTTTGACAAACATGGAGGCTTTTGTTTGTTTGTCTCGATCTCAAGCATCAATGAATCGAATGCTATGCAAGGTACGGGAGACAGTAACGATATACCACCCCCTCCTCCCCATCATGGAGGGTGACCACCAAACGGCATTGGGTGCACGCCGTCAGGGGATCTTCAGGGGTAAAAGAAACCACAACCTCAACCACCCATTGTTACACCCAGCAACCGGAAAATCCGGCTCCCATTTATTTGCCAGAGGAGAAAAATGATATTCAGGCACGACTTCCCTTTCCATCCCCACCCCTCCCTACCAAAGCTTGTTCCTGTCTGGATCGTCCCCAAATCTCACCCAATCCCATCGTTTGATGATGTGGTGGTTGGTTTCATGCATGTCAAAAAGGAAGATGCGATTCTCGATCTTGCCAACCAGAACCAAAATCGTTGCGCTATTCACGCAGTCACCTGTAGTATGCCCGTAGCACCCACAGTCGTCATCATCATCATCATCATCATCCAACAGCTCCACTTTGTCAAAGAGGCAGTGTCATTGCTTTCAGAATCCGGGGGAAGAAAAAAATCAGGTACGGGCGGCACAGTTCGAATCTCACCGGTTCGGAGGCCGGAAATCACGACCTCAGAGCTCCAAGCTTGGCCAATGATATTTGGATAGCCGTTTCTCATCTGCCTAACTGCGGCGCAGTCCACGCTGAATATTATCCCCGTGGAGAGTCCGAGGTTGAAGGATCTCAAAGACTGTTCAGCAATTAAGCAATATGAAAAAAATAAAAACTTTAGACATAAAATATGTGCTTGTGGTCTTCAGATCGTGGGTGACAGCAGCCTCGACAATGTCAATGTAAATATGTACAAATAAACCATCCGTTGACCAGCACTTGGCCAACTTCATGTGTTCACCCACCCTTTTGCCATGTCAGTCTTTTCCAGAATCGCTTCATGCCAGTCAGTCGATTCAGGCCCTAACCATCCCCTATTAAATCCATCGCCACAGCTGTCACCCAGAACGGAAAGAACCCCATTCAGACCGTACCTTTTGTTTCCAGCCCAAAAAGAAAACCTATCTTTTCTTGACCGCACACATAACTTTATCTTGCCTCCCAACCCAACTCAAGCAACCACCAGGCAAGCAGTAGCGATTGCAACGGAAGTGTCCCCCTTCCCTTATCTCCTAGTGTATCCACCCAGCCCGAAAACGCCATTGGTATCGTGGAATGCAAATGCAGTAATGAAGAAAACGAAAACTCGTCGCGGAAAATGCCCCAGAGAAAAAAGATAGTCGGGATTCGTTCGTGTACGTCATGAAAACCCAGCCCAGCCCGCCGACCCCCTATTTTCCAACCCAGAAAATTGCAAAACGAAAGAATTGATCGAGAAAAACCCCCAGTCTAATAATCGGGGTCTGGATTGGTGGCTCTCAGCACTCGTGGCGCATCAAGTCGTCTGGAATAGTCGTGGTTGTCTTGTAGGGAGTTGACGCTGTCGCGGCTTCGGTTCGGATCGCGTACGTAGAACGGGTCGAGTCGCGGGTCAATGGGCATGAGCTGGCTTCGACGTTTGGCCTCCCATGTTAATGGCTGCTCCGTCACTTGAGGGGCTTTTGACCCCATAGAGCCCATGCCCGAAGCACTACCACCTCTCATGGGTGAGATAAATCCCTGCTGCTCTTCTTGTCTCCTCTTCTTCCACAAGAGCCAGACGAACAGTCCAAGAACCGACAAGCCACCGATGATGCCTACGGCAATGCCGGCAACGGCTCCGGCCTGCAGGCCACTGCTAGAACTTGGCACCGTCCCGCCGGTGGCTTGGGGAAAGGCCGCCGTCACAGTTTTGACGACGCCTCCAACGGTTACCGTCTCCACTGCGCCGCCCGGTTCCGACGTGACGACTTGATCAGGCTATCGAAAAGTCAGCAATGTTCCATCTCAAATCAAAACAATAAAATGTCGCCAGACATCGCAAACAAACTAAAAATATATATATATATATTCATAAAAAAAAAACAGGGCATACAGGAGATGAAGCTGAAGATACACTCGCCGAGGAGATCGACGGTGTCACGGTCACTGTGATGTGCAATGTGCTCTGCACAATCTCAGCCTCAGTGGTCACGATAGTCACAGGGACGGGTGCAGGGACATGGGCCTGGGTGGTATGGGAAAGTTAAAAACGGCCGTAACTCCAGGGCTCTCAAGCGCGGCCAAGAGATGGAACAACGACTCGTGGTGCTGAGGCAGACAAAAGAAAAACGGCTGCGGGAGGGCTTCGGCGGGCATTCTGTGCTGTGCGCTCGAAAACTGGGGAGTACTTACGGATGCTGTTTTGGACGGCTGTCGGGTGGTGGAAAATGAGGCTGGCGGCGCTGTTGCTGTAGGCTTGAACTGGGCAATCTCAAGATACCCATAAACAGGACCCTTTCCACCGCAAATATCGTCGGGATAGCCCGGGCATGGAAAACTGCAGTCCGAGATGTCGTTCTGATCGGCCTTGTTAGGGACGGTGCTTGAGCACCAGCACTTTTTCTCGAGCAAAATTGCGAAAGCAAAGTTCAGATCCGTGCAGTTTATTCTGCAACGACCCATGCTCTGGAAGTCGCTGACAACTATCAGGAGTCACAACGTCAGTATACTGAAGCCGTGTGCCAAGATGACTGACCACCTACATGGGTCAAACTTGAGACCAGTGTTGTATCTGGCACAATACTCCATTGGGATAGAGGGCGTTGCCTGAGAGCGGCTGGATAGCAGAGCAATGATGCCAAAGAAAGCCCAGACAAGGGCGGTTAGTGGTTGCCCCATGGTGGGCGAGGCTGTATGGTGTGGTATTGGTGTGTTGTGTCGGTGTTCGTTGACCCTAGGGAGAGCAGCTGGTGGATCTCTCGTTTGGTACACGGCGATGTATTTCGTTGTCAATCGAGTCGAAAATCCCACGCAACTGTTCCCAGTAGATCCTCACACACGAATTGGCTGGGATTGGGCCACGGCCATGCCAGGTTGGACAATTTTGTCAGGTTGGGTAGTGGTGAAAGAGAGATTTGCTGACAGCGGGTTTCAGGGAAAGTTGGAGACACCTGAGCCCGATCAGACCGGCTGGAGATTGGAGACCTGATGGTTCGTACGAGAGACCTGAGCGAGAGAGCCGGAGATGGGATGAGTCCGTGAGCTAGAATTGAACACGGCGAAGCCGCGCGACGGACAGAACAGGACAGCGATGGTGTTCCCGCGAGGGTGTTGAAGGAGGAAGGAAGAGGAGAAAAAGGTGGTGTGTGTGGCGGCGTGGGGAGCGTTTGCAGGTAAAAAGAGAAAACCAGCCGGCCGAAGCACCAACAATGAGCAGGTGGGGACGGCGAGGAGAGGCGGGTGTTTGATGACAAGGATTGGGTGAGAAGGAGCCAGATCTGACCAGCGCTGTTGCCGATAAGTCAACTGATGGGCGAAGATGGCTCCGCTGTTGCTGGTTCAAGAGCACAAGTAATGAAATACTGGTACGGAGTGAGTACACGCTCAACGCTTCCCCAGTGTCAGCAGTTTCACCTGTTGCCTCTTTGTGTTTTTTTTGGGGGGGGTTTTTTTTTTATTTTTTTAAAATATTTGATGGGACACAGCTTCACACGTTTCTTGGGGACGGGAGAGCTGGAGGAGGAGAGGGGCTGCATGAACACCTGGAAGGCACAGCGCTGCCGCAGGGAAGGGTTGACAGGGCAAGCAGCCCCGCTGAGTGGTGAGGCCAGCGGAGCTCGGGCTCACGGGAAACAGCAACAACTAGGAAATGGATAATGGGCCCATGGCGTCACTGCCCTCGCTTCTCTTCGTGATTCCCACAGCTATCCACGCAGCCCCCCGGTAGCCAGTACTTGGGATTCTCTGGGTACGTTAGTGGTTCTGGGCGCTGAAAGCCACTCGTGGCCAATGGCGGCACGCTGAAACCGCTGGAGCGGCCTGTAGTGCCGTGAGATGCGCAGGATGCCCGGTCCAACCTTAGCACTGGGCCGCTTGGTGGGGTAGCCGGTACCCATTCTTCAGCTCACTTGGGTCTTGGGCATCGTGGAAATCGAGCCGCGAAAGACGCCGCCCGTTCCTGAAGATCTTTCTCATCGGTGGCTTGCGGAATTCTCGTTATCCTTCGAACCAATACACGCCTCACCCGAGATTGTTCGCGACCTGTCCACACAACCCCTTATCAAGGGCTTCAGAGACAGCTCAACGCGGCAGCAACAGCAACGCTTTAAGTGGGTGGTTGGCATGCTCGGCGCATCTCGGGACCCCGTTCTCCTTGGACAAGGAGGACGTGACTGGCAGTGGGTGGAATGCAACAGAATACGGGACAGTGCGACTCCACCACCCTCGTCGAGATATTCTGATACGCGCGACATTTTTTCCAGGCACGTTTCCTGACGGCTATCAATCTGTTAATAATTAGTGACAGGCTTAGCGCTACTAGGACCTCGATGGCCCTTGTAACGGTTGTGGACCACGATACGCCGTGGGTCGACAGCACACACACCACCATATGCCCTAGCACTAGGGCGTCGAGACGTCAGCCAAGGCTTATGAGATTCTCAAGTCGGGGCATTTCGTGGAGGAGGAACACATTCATCGCGGTTGTGAGCTTCCATTCCCGTTCCGACTGTCCGTGATTGATATGGACGGCTCCCAGCAGAGGAAGCCAGCAAGTGAGACAGGGCGGCAACCTGCATAAACCGAAACAGCTGCTGATGAAGGCGCAGACAGACGTGACAGCTATCTCCTTGCTCCCGACGGCCCCTATTTCCTACTACAAACCTCTGGCACCAGACCCGTGTTCAAGCGACTCGCACATTTCACCTTTTTGTTTGAGGCTTTCGTCGGCAGCAACGGCATCTCAAGCTCTCGGCGGAGGGCTCAAGCTCTCGCACTTGCTGCAAGCACGAAGCACCCCCTAATGCAGTGCTCTCTGCACACGACATGGATATCGCCCTTTGTGTGCACCTGTGGCCAGTGACTCAGCTGCTTCCATCTTCAGGTGAGGACACCTGAACGATTGGCTGATGCCACCCTCACGAACCTACAAAGACGATTCGTATACGACACCCTGCTCGAGGCCGGCTTTGGTCAGAGATAGGAGACATTTGTCCAGTGGAAAACGGTGGTTGTCAACCCAACGGCAGCGACCAGCCCTTGGAGATCTTCCCGCAGCGTAGGATGGGGTCACCAGAAACGACACCACAGATTATGCAGCAAAAGTCCATGTGAATCGATGCCCTCGTATTGCCGACTGCGCCCCTCAAGACGAGACGACACGCGTCCGCCCCTATAAAAGCCATTGTCAGCCAAGACAATACAGAGAAGTTGTGGTTATGGCTACTCGTACTCCATGAATGTTCCCAACATGTTCGTCAGCATCCCGTCCTCCCAAGACAGAAGAAGCGTTCGACGTTGAAACCATCAACCGCACGCGGGGGTCACTACCCGCATCAACGCCCAGCCTCCACCCCGCGATGTTACCTGTGCAAAGGCAGTGTAGCATCCAGGCTACAGGTGGGAAAAGGCCTCCGGGATCGAATTGTTCTCTCCTGCATCGTTGTATGTCAGTCTTGGTCCTGCGGCTCAACCAGGTTTTACCGGCCGCAATACCAGCGATAAATACAAACCTGAGGGGCGAGATAACATTGATGATGCGGCCGTTACTAACTGGTTGTTGTGGGGGAACGGAACAGCTCATTGTTTACCCTCTTTTCCACCCTGTGCGCGCATTCTGTCCAACCAAATTCTGGACGTTCAGGAAAACATTGTCTCGAACCTGTCGTGGTTGCTGTCACGCAAGACCCTTCGGCGCTGCCACAACAGCAAGCAGGCCACAGTCAAAACTTCCGTAGCGTCCTGCCCCCAAGGCGTCACAAGGCAAACCGTCGTGAACAGTCTCTTCTCTCTCGCCTATCACTTTCTCTTTGTTTGTTTGTCTCGATCATTTACTCAAGGGTGGGCGAGCTGCTTACCGACAAATTCACCGCCTGTCTATCTTGCCCAGCCTGCGGGCGGGATCCAGCAAGAAACACTGCTGTGTGTGTGCGAGATGTTGTCTCATCTGGTGACGATTTTGCTCATGATGGCGGTGAGTCCCACAGCTAGCAGAAATGCGGGGGGGGGAGAACACTGCACTCTGGCCCTGTCTGAACAGATGTCGCGATCTACCCTTTGGGAAAAAGCTTCCTTGGTGGGATCTGCATGAACCGAATTCATCAGCACTGCTTTTTTTTTCATCTTTGCCAGTCCGCGCCAGCCAAGAGGCTCGTTTTCGGAATGGCCAAATTCTCGTGAGAGTTAACGATTTCCCGGCTGAGGCCGGGCTAGCTCTTTTACTCTTTAGCAGATCTTAGCATTGTCGATCGGTTTGTCTTGGCGGGGAGCGTGGCTGGACGGTTGATGATCTGATTGGCGATGTGATATCGTGAGGTGCCGGGTCAGCGAAGCCGGTGTGCCCAGGCTGGTCGGCACGGTGTTATCGCGGCTGAGATCATCAGATCTCGGGTGAGAGATGAGGGTGGGTGAGAATCGTGTTTTCAGGCAGCGCTGTCACCTTTCGAGGAGCTGTTTCTGAGGTATGCCTCTGAGGGCTCACGATCTACCTGCTACGATAGCTGGTATCCACGGGGGTATATATGAGGGTGGCAGAGATGCAATATATCGAGGACACGATTAATGAGCTGTATCAACGTCCCAGAAAGCCCTTTCCACACATTATCATCTTTTCACCTGTTATTCTCGCAGCTATCTATAGATCTTGGTCAATTACAAGGTACCTTTGCTTTCCTCTCTCAAACGAATGCTTCCAAAGACTACTGCTACACCTCGTATCGCACTGCCGAGTCCATCCACCACCAATTACAAAAACGATAACCCAAGAATAACCCCGTATAAACGCCTTTTGACCATTCCAAAACGAGCGAGCACTATCCAGGTGCTTAGTTCATGACCAGTATCAAAGCAGTCGAAGTATCTATTCACCCCTTTTTGGGCGTCACCTCGTCCTCTTCACCCCCTCTCAGCGAGCTTCTCGAGCTCTTCGTTTCGATGCTCTCCACCATCTCCAATACCCTCGACCTCGACTTCTTGGGTCGCATGACTCTCTCTGGTGTCATGGTGGTGGGACTCAGGCTCACCCCAGGGTTCACCTCCAACCTCTCATACCTAACCGCCTCGGCAGTGTGCAACCCCTCGGTCTTGATCTCCGCCTGGCGCAAAGACGTGGAAGGTGATATCCCCATCGTATGCGTGGTCGTGATACTGCCCGCGACTGACTCCCTCTTCCTGTCTCTCTCCTCGGCTTCCTCCCCCTCTGGTGGCCGTAACAGCTCAATCTCGGGCAGCTTGCCCTTCCCCTTGTCCTGCTGTGTCGGAGCAGGCGGCCCATCCGTATCCCAAGTATCATAGTACCCGGCGTCAAACTCCCTATCCCCCTCCCTTACCACCTCCCCCACCTCCCCTTCCTGCTCAATCTCCGCATTCACCACCCTCAACCTCTCCTTTGGGACAGTAAACATGACCTGCACCAACCTCTGCTCCACCGCCCGCTCAACATCCCACTCCCCGTCCTGCGTCTCTTCCCCACCCCAGCTCTGCCGGTTCTGCTTCCGTCTTTGCAGCGTCCCCTGCCTCCGAACCAACCCGCCATCCACCCCCGTGCCGGCCTCCAGCTGCCCTCCCGGGCTGCCCAGATCCTCTCTGCTCCCCCCCGTCGCCGACGACTCCGGCGTTCCCTTCTCAAACACCCGCCTTATGCTCCCCAACCACGACCTCCGCTGCGGAGCTTTTGATTTCGA